GTCTGCGAGTGCTTTTAATGGTTAAATAAGAAACGGATTGTTACCCAAAAGGCATTTTCACCTCCTGTAACACATATGCGGGGGGGGGCTGCATCCCAGCCCAGAGATGGATCGGCGTCAGCCTGGGCTCAGGGAATGCCACCCACAGCCAGACCCTGCCCTGCTGCCTGGAAAGGGCCAGGGCCTCCCAGTCCAATAGAGGCACCAAAACTCGGGGCACCCCATGGTAGCCCAGCACCCCAAGGATGTCCTGGGGCATGTTAGGAACAGGGTGGCACAGTCCATGCTACTCTGGGCTTCATCTCTTGTACCTGACCCCATGTGGCAGGAGGCACTGCCTAGCACACTTCGGATTTGGGACAGTCTCCACTCCCTCCCAGCCCAGATGTAGCTGAATCACATCCAAGTGTAGCACCTCGCTGGGACCTAAAATCAGCTAACTTAAGCTATCAGGGCCAAGCTTCAGGGAGCTTCTGCAGCTCCTCACAGCCCCTAGGAACAACCTGACCCCTATGCCAGAGACCCCTCAGTGCAAGGGATGTGGCTGGGCTAGTGGTCCCTGGCTGCACCCAAACTGCATCTTCCCCAGGCTTTGCCTCGCTGCTCATTACCTCCCCACTATCATCTCCAGCAAGGGGGGCAGACGGATGCTGGAGGAGGGGGCAGTTAAAGCAGAAAGGCCCCACAGGGCAGGAGGCAGAGCAGGAGGCACCACTGCTGGCAGTCCGGCTCGAAACAAAAAGTACAATCGTTTCATCAGGCTAAATTTGGAGCATGAGCCCCTCCCTTTGCAGGGCCTGGTCAGGGTGAGTCGCACAGCACTGGAGCAGCTCCAAGGCTGGCGCTGGCAGGGAGCGAGGGACAGGCCCAGGGCTCTATTTGGCCAAGGTAGGAGCCCTCTCTCACCACCCCTCCACTGCAGTCCTGTGAATGGTGTGCTGGGGAGTGAGGGCAGGCAGCAGTCATGGGGGTCCACCTCCCACTCTCAGGCTTGGAAGGGCTGGAGAGCCATCCAGGGAGGGACAGGCAGGGGAAGAGCAGGTCCTGCAGCCCCAGGAGCAGCCCTGGTTAAGTCTCATGCACTGCTGCACCCCTCCCAGAGAGCACCCAAGCTCCTCACTGGACCACCAGTCCCACCTGGGCCTCCTGCCTTTCTCCAAGCAGCTAAACATAGATGAGAAGCTGGTCCCTCTGCTCTGCCCACCTGCCCTCCCTGCCCCTCGGACGAGCTATGCCTTTCACTGCAGCATGGGGCTGGATCACTGCTCCAGGAAGCGGAAACACTCCAGCCTGGCCCTTTCCCAAGAGCTGCTCATCCTGCAGCCCACAGCCAACAGCCTGGTCAGCAGAGATGCTCACTACCATCGCTGTGTCCCAGCTCCACAGCAAAGGCACAGCTAGAACGAACATGGTTCCTGCCCAGGAACAGAATGGTTGAGAGACCATTCCCTGAGCAAGGAAAAACAGATGCTTGGTCGAAATCAGGAACAAGGGGAAGCAGCAGAGGAAGGACAAAGAAGCTGGCCAAGCCAGCTCATTCCCTGCACTCTCTGGTCCATGGCTCCTGCAGCCCTCACCATATCAGCACTTGTACCCCAGGCCTGCAGCTACTGCTGCCACCCAGGACACAGCCACGCTGTCCTCAGCCCAAGAAGGACCCAGGGAGGGATGAGCTCAGCCCCCAGAGCCTCCATTCCCACTACAGACCAGGATCCCACAGCTTCCCCAGCTCTAACAGCAAGTTCTGCAGCCTCACAGGTCAGCAGCAAGGCTTGCTTGATGGGAGCCATGGGAGAAAGCGTGTGCCTTAGCTACACTGGCACTGGAGGGACACTGGGGACAGGCTGCTGAGGACACCTCCCACCACCCCTCAGGGCCATGTAAGCTGGTTTATAAAAAGTAAGTCACTCCCACACAGTCTCTGCAGGCAGTTGAGGAGCTGTGGGCTCCCATCCAGGCTGAGCTCACCAAGGCCACAGACCCCATGCAGTCCAGCACACACCTCCCCACGCTCCATGGCTCCCAGGCCAGCCCAGGTGAGACCAGTGGGAAAGCCAGGTGAGACCCCCTACTCCCAACCCAGTCTCTCACCTGGTACAGGAACCTCTGGCTGAACTGCTGCATGGCCCCCTGGAGCTGGTTGCGCTGGGACTGCCACTGCTCATAGTTCCGGACGTATTCGGCTGTGGGACGCTGCCACGTTGTGGTCCGCGTGTTGTGGTCCACGTAGTAATACCTGCCCCGAGGATCCACGCGTTTCTCCCACCTGGAATACACAAGGAAGTTGTCACTTCTGTCTGCAACAAGCCAGATCAGTGTCTGAGGTGCCAGCAGCCCATTACCCAGGAGGAAGAGGTCTCTCCCACGTGGTAGTCTTGTTGTTGTGGTCTACATAGTAGACTCTACCATTGGGCAGCTCCCGCTGTTCCCACCTGCAAAAGAAATCAAAACATGAGGCAGGTGATAGTTGCTGGCACCTAGAACACCCTAAGAGTAGGCCCTGATTGGGTAGTGAGCCCACCTCCTCTCATCCTTGGCATTCTGACCTTTATTTAACGGCTCTGCCTGGCAGCTGCTGGGCTTGGGACTAAGGAGAGTGGCTGCAGCACTGCTGTCTGACACAGGCATCATCTGGAGCATCAATCCCTCACCTCCCCTGGAAATGCTGGCATAAGACTTCACATGGGGTCAGTTTATGCCCTGTGTTTCTGATGCAGTTATTGTTTCATTTCTCCTAGTATATCTTTTAAGAGAAGCCTCAGAGTTTGGGTTGGGTTGGGCTGGGCTCTCCCTGGCAGCCACAGCTTAAACCCACCCTGTGCCCACAGTGCTGAGGTCAGGGTGGCCCCAGGGACAGCCGGTGTGACAGGGAGCCTCCTGGCTTCACAGGGCCACACTGACACCATTCCCTGTCTGAATTCATTCATGAATCTACCCAGGCAAATGCAAAAGCTCCGTGGAGCCTGTGCTTTCCTGTCAGCTTTTATCCTGCAGCAGAGGGAGGCGAGCCAGCAGCTGCTGACAGATAAAGTGTTCTCCTGCCACACTCCTGCTCCCACAGGCCTCCCTCCCCATTCAATCTTCTGTCTCAATTAATCATCACAAAAAGCTCAAGGAAATTAATACACCAGCTTCTGTTGTGACAGCAAGGGAACAAACCAGGGCTGGCAGAGAGCAGGCAGCCCTGGGGAAGGAGCTGCTGCAAGCATTGATGCTTGGACCATCCTGGCTCACCCTCAAACCTCCCAGGGGACAATGAACAGTGACCTCAGCCACAGCCACACACCTGCTGTGACACAGGTCACCTGCATCACAGCCAGGTTATATCTGCAGGTGTTGATACCAGTCAGCAGCACTGGATATTTCTCCTGGAAAGCTGAGATTTCCTGAAGACACAAGCATGTTCACCCATGTTCACAAGCATGAGATGGATGCCAGAAGGCCTCTGGGCATCCTCAGGGAGAAGGCAGGGATGTGGAATTGCCCTGGACAGGTCCTCCAGCCTCATTAACAACACATTCTCAGATCTATATGTCTCTGAGTACTTGGAAGTCCTTTATGACAGGAGGCTTTCAAGCCCCCAAATACCATTCCTGTGGCTGTAGGGACCAGAAGTCCCATGATGAGAACTCCAGGTTTCTGGGTCTCTCAGATACACCTCTGGGTGCCCTCATGACTGCAAAGAGCCACATGGGATTGGGGAGAGCTGCTGGTGGTGGCATGTCTGACTGATGTCCTCTGTCCCTGCCTCACACCCTGTACAAACAGGTGATGAGCTCACAAGCTCCTCAGGTCAGCAGCTCCCTGGTGATTTGAGAAGTAAATTTGCTGAGCAGTGAGTCATTGCCATCAGTGATAAACCGCAGTTACTGCTGATACACAGCAACAGACCAAAAGACAGAGTCCAGAGAGACAACCCATCCTTGCTCAGACCGCCTTGACCAGCTCCACATGGCCACCAGCATGGGAGATCCATGTCTTTGGGAGCACTGGACAGTGGGAGCTGTCACCACATGAACCAAGCTGCAAGCACAAATTGCCTGACACACTGGTTCCTGCCAGCTTCCCTCCAGCTGCCCACAGGCTCACAATGGCCTGGGATGCAGGCATCCACGGGCACTGGGAAGTGGCAGGGCTGAGGCAACCCTGCAATCCAAACAAAACGCCCTCCTTATGTAAGAAACCACAGCCCTGTGGCTTCTGCCAGGCAACATAATGCACCTCTTTGTGCGGGCGAGACAGCGCCGCACACAGCCCCACTCCCAGCCGGCTGTCCCCTGTGCTGGATCATCCCTGATAGGATCCAGATGCAGGAGCCAGCAGCTCTCGTGCCCCCTCCCCTCCCTCTGCTATCAATCCACTCAGGAACCCCAACCTGAGAGCCAGGACCCCACACTGAGTGCCTCAGGCGCTGCGACCGCTGCTCCGGTGCCACACGCTTCTTGGCTTTGCTTAGGGAACGTTCTGCCTGAGCCAGGAGGATGTGAAGGAGGTTTTGGGCACTGTCAGGGCTGGAATTACTCAGAACACCTTCCAGCACCCTCCAGCCCCTAGGACAGGCTCCCAGTTGTGTAAGAGATGCCTTTGAGCCTGCCACACCTGGTGCAGATGTTGAGAGACACAGACCTGAGCAGAGCAAATCGCTCTGAATCCCCACCTGAACTCAGCTGCTCTGTCACAGCCTGGCATACCCTCCCGAGGCTGAAGTGAGTGCTCTCCACTCCCACAGATGGAAGGAGGCACTCAGAGAATGAGGCAGGGCTCATGCAGCAGGCAGGAAGGACACACAGCCAGGGATGTTGCTCCTGTGAGTGGCAAAGCAGGAGCCATCCCACATGCGCTCTGCAGTGCTCTCACAGCCATGCCTGTGGAGCTATGCCAGCAAGAGGCTATTCTGCATCCCCATCTCCCACTCTGGGCCCCAAACCACCAGTCAGAGGAACTCCCTGGTGAGGTGAGCCAGCCAAAAATCAGCCACCCTAGATCAGGGCTCAAGAGAGCCCCAGAAGCTCATTTACACCACCCCAGAGACACAGTGCTATGCAATCCCAGTTTAGCAAATCCCTGTTAGCCCAGGACCTGGTCTGACAGCTCTCAGAGCAGGGTTCACACTGTGGAGACCTCAACTCAACCCTTCGTTCTGCTCCACCTGGGAAGACCCTGATACACGATCTCCACCTGCCCAAGTAGGTGAGCTGCTGCCCAAGCTTGCCCAGCGTGGCACCTAACTCAGCAAGTGCCAGGGGGCTGCTGCCCTCTTCCCCTTACAGATCCCAGAGTCAGGACAGGGAGGGACAGACACAGAAGGTGCTAATCCAAGGTGTCTCCAGAGATCCAAATTCCAGGAGCTCACCCTGGAGGATGGCTCACTACCCCTCCAGTGCTCTTCTCCAGCTGTCTCCAAAGCACAACAGTTTTATCCTCCTCCCTGCTCCGACATAGATGATTCTCTGGTTCGTGAGTTCCGCAGGGAGATGGGGCAGGGAGGACACAGCCACCCTTCCACCTGGCTGGAGCAGGTAAATCCAGCCTGGTGTGTCTTAGAAAGCAGTGCCTGCAGCCTCCCGAGCTCTGGAATCCCAGATCATGAGGTATCTGCAGGCTCCTCCGCCCCGGGAAAGAAACAACAGCCTGTTTCCACCCCAGGTGGGGAAAAGGAGACCTTCAGTCTACCTGGTAGGAGGAGAAAGGAGCATAAGCTCTGTCTAGAATAAAGACCTTTTTGAGAGCACTGGACTTTTCCAGCTGCCTGGAAACAGGAAGCGCCCAGGCCAGGAGAACAGAAACCCTCACACACCCTGCATAAAGGCACACTGAGCCGTTAACCCTAATTACCTGTGACTGACACGCGAGCGAGGCCCTGACCTTCCAGGCATCGCCTCAGCCAAAGCAAAATAAACAGCTCCCTTCATCCCAAACACAGTCCATTTCACCCCACAATCAGAGGTGTCTGATAGGAGGAGAGAATGATCCAGCTGCAGCATGGGGGGGCTGAGCCCAGACCCCAGCTGCAGCCCCCCGAGAGCCAGTGTGCCCACCAGCACTGCTCAGCCAGCCTCAGCTCTCCTCCAGCCCCTTCCCCACGGCCCAGGAGGAGGAGGAGGAGCATCCACATCAGGGAGAACATGCACTGCTACTCGAGGGTCCTGCCCACTTGCCCCCAGCAATGGCTAATGTCCCCATGGTGTCCCTGGAGTGTGTGTTTGTGCTCTCCTGCTCAGTGGGAGCTCCCTGGAAACCCACACTCACTCTCCTGGGTGTTTTCCTCTGACTGATCCCCTCAGTAGCCCCAGGAGAGTGCAGCACTTGCCACAGAGATGCCATCCACTGTTTATTATGTCAAACCCCCAGGGGCACAGCTCAGACCCTGACCCACACATGTCAAGCTCTGACCAGGCAGCTCAGAACAGGGAGCACTGGCTGTGCCAGGCAAGCAGGGTACAGGGTCACAGGGTCACCCCCCCATAGGCACCCCAGGCTCTCTCTGCTCCAGTGACCACCATCATTTCCACCAACTCCTGGTGCAGCACCTTCCCTCCCTCGAACAGCCTCTTCTTCCAGAACACAGCAGTGCCTCAGTTTGTTCATGTCCCCCTTCTAGGCCATGCCTCCCTCCCTGAGGGCCAAGGGTTGTGCTGTCTTGGGCAGGAGGCAGAGCTTACCCGGGGGGCAGAGCATCCAGGGCGAGAACTGCTGCCCGGGCTGGGGGGGCACTGGAGCCAGGGGCTGCCTCCTCAGCCTCTCCAGAGCTGGTCAGAGCAGGAGCAGTGGAGCCATCCGTCGTGCTGGGTGCCGCTGGGTTCAGCACGCTCGCTCCTGCTGCTGGCTGCTCCTCCTCCGTGTCTCCAGCAGCCACGGTGTCCCCGTTCACTGCAAGGCAGAGGCAGGGAGGTCAGCACACAGCCAGGGTGATGGGTCCTGCCTGATCTGCTGCACACAGAGCACGTGGTGGTGGCAGCTGTTGCCACCAAGCACAGGACTCATGGTGCTCTCAGCCTGCAGCACAGCTTCACCCAGACCCCTCTGGGAACCACTGCCTCCATCCTGAGACAAAAGCATTTAGTATCCCTTCTGCCACTGGAAACACACTGCATTACTGATGGGAATTAGGGGAATGCACAGGAGCTTGTTGTGCCAGTCTTCAAAGGGAACTACAGAATGACCCAGGTGACTCCACCATAGTTTGATCTCAGTCCTGGACAAAGCAGGGGAGAAGCTGATCCAAAGTTCACCTGATAAGGAAGGGCTCCAGGGGGAAACACAGCAAGGGCTGAACAATGTGGCTGTGAGGAAAACAGGCCTTGGAATACTCTCCTTTGTCGGGCGAAATTACAGCTGAGTGACAAATGTAAGAACATTCTTGCAACAGCCTGCTCGAAAAACATGGCAACAGCATCAATATGTACCAAGCTGAGGGGGAAGAGGTTGGTTTGTAGAGGCATTCCAGCATGTCCAGCACTAATCCCAGCCACCTAAACCACACCTCTCCCCATCCCCAAGTCATCACTGACAGGACTTGTGGGAGGCACAGAGGGTGGTGAGTGGTAAACAGCAACAAGGAGAGCATAGTCATAAAGCCACCGGGGAGGCTGCAGATGGGCCAGTAAAACATGTGTTAAACAAACCAAAGCCAAGGAGCCAAGTTGTACTTGGGAACAAAATCCCTGTCCCCAGCCTGAGGGAGTGCCCACAGAGTGAGGAGCCTGGGGAAGGCTGGGCTTGGGCAAAACTGAAACTGCATTGCTCCAGGTTTTCCTAATGGAACAGAAAAACATCCCCAACTTCCTTCTGGGTTGAACTAAACATTTCCTTCCATCCACTCTGCTTCTCCTTCTAGGTCTCCCACAAAAGCAAACATACTGCAGAGGAGTGGGAGATGCCCCACTCCATGAGAGCCAGAGAAGGAAAACAGAGCAGCTGCACATGACTTTGTAGTCAGGGACTCAGCAGGTCCCAGTCACTGCTCCACAAGGGATTGATGGCTTTGTGAACAAACCCAAGACAACCTTTCCAAAATTACCCTCTCTGCTATAAGGAGCTCCCTTTGAGAGGTGGGTTGGTACCTTCCCTAGTGCTCCACAGGCAGCTGCTCCTCCCCACTTCAGAGCTCAAAACATTTCCACTGAAGGCTTGATGGGAAAATCAAGTGAACCCTGAAAAAAGTGCTCTCAGCTGTGACAACTGTTCTCCTCACTGTGGCATCAGTGATACTGCCATCCCAGCATCCTTTTATAAACCTGGAGCTGGTGGCTCGAGTGGAGCCACAGAAACCATTCCTGACAGGCAGCACAGATCCTACTAGCACATTCTGCAGAGCTGCTTGGCTGATCAGAAGTAAAAACAACAAAAAACATCAATTCACAGGGAGGAAATTCCCAGGCATGACAAGATCCATTATCCTAGCAGAAATTCATCTTTTTCACAACAAAGAGCCCTGAGCTCTGCCTCCTCCTCCCATGAGCATTGGATCACCTGTGCCATTGGCCGTGCTGTTGACCACACCGTTGGCCATGCTGCTGGCTACACTGTTGGCTGTGCCATTGGCTACACCATTGGCCATGTTGGCGTGCTGTGTGCTCTTGGCCTGCTGCCGGTGCCTGCTCCTGGCGCTGGGACTTTGCTCCACACTCCCTGTGTTCCCCCTGGCCACTCCAGCCACATGTCGGTGCATCCTGCAAGGCAAAGGAACACGGGAGATGAGAGACATCACACAGAAAACCCTGCTTCTGCCTTTCTGCCTGGGTCTTCTGCTGCTTCTTCCCACCACAGCCACTGGTCTCCCTCAGGAATGACATGGATGCAGCCATGTGCCTCCACTCAGGGCAGTGACCTGAACTTCATGGCAGCCTGCCACAGGTCCTGGCACACACCTACAAACGGCGAGGCCCACAGAGGAGTGTTAGGGGTTGGGATCCTCTGTTGTGTTGGGGG